GCAACCATGAAAACATTATCGTTTTATAAGAAAGCATCAAAAGTTTCAGCATTGAAACTTGCACAATGAAATTTGAGTATATTGCAGGTGAAATCAGGGATGTGATTGGCTTGTGCAAGCTATATGGAGCTCAAGGGTGAAATACCTCTATTTCATTGTAAAATTGACTTAGGAACCTAGCACCAATGGACTTCAATTACATTTTGCCCTATGATAAGAAAAGGGGGAAATGTGCAAAGAAACTCAGACTTCGATAGCTATTCATTGAAAAGCAAGGTAGAAAATTCATACTTTGGATTTTAAGAAATTTTAGGAATTCTTAGGCACCTGGCTCTGCAAATGTGATTTATTGTAATGAAGATATATATGTCTAAAAATGCATATCCAACCAGGCACAAGTGCAATGGTATACACCTATAGTGCCACTTGGGAGACCAAGACATAAAAATGTTTATGTCTGGCATTCAGGGTTAACCTGGGAAACAAAGGAAGATTCTCATGATTTAAAGTTGGGTGACTAAGATTTGGCCCCACCCTTGATGGCCACCACACATGGAAGGGCTGTCCCTGCCCCTTACTAAGGTGGTTCAGAGAGCATGGTAGGCCTACCCCAATTCCTACCCCATCTATGAACCACTGGAACACATTAAGGGTCCGGTCCTGTGAACCATAGCCATTGGATCTCCATGACTCTGAGGAACAGCCACATATCTGAGAGGTATCTCTATGAGGGTCCTGAGGCCTCGAACTAGACCAAAAACTCATTGCAATGAAAGTTGTTCGGGCAAAAGGGTATACTGTGTGACACACCATAGCACCCATTGCCCCTAAGACAAACAAATATGTGATGGAGAGGTGGGAAAAATGGAGGGGCCTAGTGGTCCAAGTACAGCAGGCCTGTGACTGATATGAGAGAAGACTGTGCTTGATAGAGAAGCAGGTGTTGTTCAGAGGGGTCACTGAGATTTTTTTTTTAATCCTAATTTTTATATTTATATTTTCTTGGTGGGGAGGTTACAAGGGTGGAGAGTAGAAGGACTCGGAAGTGAATGGGATTGGCGTACATGATGTGACTTTCCCAAAGAATCAATAAAAATTTTGTTAAAATAATAAAGTGTGTAACAGTTAAAAAAATGGGTGTCTAAATGTTAATAGTGAAATTATTTCCATATGTAGGAAATAAACATTTTAAAGGATAAAGCAATGTTATAAATTGATTGACAGTCTTTTTACCTTTTGGTTTATGAAATAGTTGTGAGTCTTGATGTAATGATAAATCTTTCTGCCAGCTGCCTGAGTTCCACCCCCTGCATTAGGGTCCCAAGTCCCACAGAGAGATTTATATTAGGTACAATGCTGCTGGCCAATGACTAGGATTTTTCATCTGCTAACTCAGTCTTAATTATCAACCATAATCATTAATCTATATATTTTATAAACTTATCTTATTGAGAACGCTGGCGGTGTGTGTTCATTCTTCTTGGGATCACATGGTGACAACTGTCCTTACTACATTTCCCAGAATCCTCTTTGACTCCTAGTCCCGCCTAACTTGCTTCCCTATTGGCCAAACAGTGCTTTATTTATCAACCCATAAGACAAACATATACACAAAAGAACTTTCCCTATCATATTACAGTTGATTAAATTTGAATCAGTGCAACACCGAGAACAAAACAAGGACACAGCACAAAGAATAAATAGCATTAGCCAGAGAAATATAAACAATACCCTCATCTGTGAATTTGCTGCCCTACAGGAGAGAACTCATTGACATTGGACTTTGGAAGTTCTGGGTGCTCACAGGAAGTTCTTTAACTTCTGTGATGCCTTAGGTTCTTCACTTCTAAAATGATATAAGTAATCCATTGCACGAAGGCTTTATTGTAGGATGGAAGTGAGAACCAGAAACTAAGTGCCCAATCTCTGGAAACCATATGTTAACAGTGATCATTTTTTTGCAATGGTTTGCAAATTCATAGCTTTTGGTAATGTATTTCAGTGCCTCCAGCATGCAGTCTCAATGTGTTGTCACAGAAAAGACTTTCCTTCTCTGTACTTGTGGCTCTACTCTTCTTCTGATACCCACTCCCCCATCTTTCCTCACGTCAGTTCCTTCCTCACCCTGTTGTCTCTGTAAACTTGTAGTTAGAGTTGGATGCTTGAATGGATTTAGGCGCAATTATTTAGGCAAACATGTGTTATGCCTTGTAGGTGGTTTGCACCCTATCAGGAGGCTTGCAATATCAGATTTTCTCACTTGTTTAGAACTGGAGTTCAAGGTGTGGCAAAATGATCCTTCCATCCTGACATTTCCAACAGTGTTTTCAATGTTAGTTTAGCAACCATTGATCAGCATTTATTTCATTTATAATTCATTTATAATTTAGAAACTGAAAGTGTATGATTTTCTAAGTCTTGCTGTACAAATTTCAGGAGAATCTTCTAAAAACAAAACACCAGAGCATATACATGTGCACGTGTGAACAACTACTTAATTATCCCCCAAATGAGTTTCTACACAAATGAGGTAAAGAGACCAAGACATAAAAATGTTTGTGACAGGCATTCACAGCTAACCTGGGAAACAAAAGATATTCTCATGTTTTAAAATTGGGTGTCTAATTGATCCAGACCCCAGGAACATGGGGTTCTGTGAGGAAACCTCAGAAATCTATGGCACCTTCTGTAGAAGTTCAGTACTTATCCCTAGCATAGGTGTGGACTTAGGGAGTCCATTCCACATAGAGGGATCCTCCCTGAGCCTAGACACACAGGGGTGGACCTAGGCCCTATCCCAAAGGATACAATAGACTCTGATGACACCCTATGGAAGGCCTCACCATCCAGGGGATCAGAAAGGATATGCAATAGATAGGGTTTTAGTTGGGGGATGGGTGGTAGGGGAGGACAGGTGGGAGAAGGGAACTGGGATTGTCATGTAAATCAATCCTGTTTCTAATTCAAATAAAAAAAAGTGGAAAAAAATTGGGTGTCTAAGAGCTGGCAACTGCCCCTTGACATACACCACACATGGGAGAGCTGTCTGTGCCCCTTACTAGGGTGGCTCAGAGAGCACGGCAGGCCCACTCCAACTCCTACCCCACCTTTGAGCCAGCGGGGCACATTTTGTTATGTGTGTGTACATTTCTGCAGAAAGGAAATCAGATCTAGTGAGCTACAAACAGCGACCAGAGACTGACAATTTTTCCTGTGTGATTCATAGGAATCACTGGGATTTTTATGTTTTGTGTATTTAACGCCATTGTAGTTGTTCATTTTGAAGCCTTAATTTTCATAATTTCAGTCAATAGAAGGGCATAGTTTTCATGTGCTTTTTGTTTTTGTGTGCGATGTAAGCAGTACTCTTGATACATCCTTATTTCCTATTACAATGTCTATATTCCTTTTATGCATTCATTTACTGTCCTAGACCTTGCTGGAATCAGCTGCTCAACCACTATCTTGAGATATTTTTTCAAAAAAATCATATTTAGAAACCATATGTATTTTCATTGCTACTGGGACATTTTTGTGTGACAAAGTTTAAGAGAAAAAGATGAATTCACATTTTAGATCACAATGTTGTTTAACTTAGTTAAACTGAGTATTGCCAAGTAACTTAATATTTACTCTTGCTATTTTAATGTATAAGGAATATTTTTTATTTAGTTTTATCTTTTGACTTTATTTTACTGATAAATGTATGACCTTTACCTACTTTAACTTTGAGTATTAGATACTTTATTCACAAAGCTATTCTGTTTTTTGTACTTTGTCTTATCTAAGATACTTCAGAAAGATACAGTGTATCCCACCAAGATGTCTTATCTCCATAATAATATCATTGAGAATTGGTAGCATCTCCAAGAAATGGGATTTAGAAGAGATTCTCAGGTTATGGGGGATGCCCCTATTGGATTGTGGAATCCTAGCTTCTCTCTCTCTCCCTTGCTATCTTTGTTTCTCTTTCTTCTTTTATCTATCACCCTCTCCCTGGTTCAGAAACTTACTATGTGCAATTTTGGTCTGCTATATGAAAACCACCGTGATGTGTTGCCTCACTAGCAACAGAGCCAACCAATGGGACTAGAACCTCCAAAATAATGTGGTAAAATAAAGCTTGCCTTTACAAGGTGCTGATCTCCCTGTTTCTGTTACAATAATAAGCAGCAGAGAGAAGGATTCACTACTTTCTTGCAGTTGTGAGGACTAACAAAATCTGTAGAGATTGCTAGCAGGCTGCTAGTTCAGGGAAGAGTCCTGTATCTAGGGATTGGAAATTTCTATTTTGTTCTTTCCAGGGAGCATTGGTTGACTTTTTTTTTTTTTCAGATATGAGTGCTCTATTGACTTTGTGCCAGATCCCACTATAGATGGTTGTGGGCCACTATGTGGTTGCTAGGAACTGAACTCAGGTCTTTTAGGAAGAACAGACGGTGCTGGTGCTCTTAACCAACAGGTCATCTCTCCAGCCCCAGGAGTGATTGTCTTATGCAAAAAAAAAAAAAAAAAAAAAACCCCCCCATTTTTTTTCCCTCACATTTTTCTGTGAGCCTATGAGATGACACCTGGCCACACTATGGAAATTAAGTAATTATTTTCTCTAGTCTACGTATTTAGATGTAATTATAGGTATCAAGTACCTTCACAGCAAGGAGTGACTGCACAATGGAGTCAACAGCATTATTATGCATCACATATAACCAAGGTATTTTCCCTAACAACTACCTTTTGACATTGACCATTCAAATCTTGTCTGCAGAAAGCATTCAAATATTTGTGGAGTTTAATAGGCATTTATTTAACAACATTATTCATTTTTACAGATTCTTCTGAGAACTTCTAAGCCTCAGTGTTCTTCGGGACAATGCAATCAGAATAGAAATGATTTGTTTAATATTGATAATTCATTAAGCGACTTCTGAAGTTTATTCATAATCACACTTTGCATGATTTTTTTTTTTTTTTTACCATCATAGACCCAAGGAGAATGAACACTTGCATACTCACAGAAACCGTGGGTTCCTCTAAGGAGTTTTTGCCACTGTGGAATATCTTTTAAACTCCCAAGTCAAAAAATAAGGTTATGTTTCCTATGGTAAGTATAAATACCTCAAAATTTAACAGAGCATTCTCACAAAATACCCCTGTGTGATTTTTGTTTCCAAGGAATAATGCTGAACCAATTTTTCCCCACACTGTGGGATTGAACCTAGGACCTCAAGCATAATGTGCAAGCACTGGAGGCCTGAGTTACATCCTCAAGCTTTCTTAGTGTTTTAGGTTTTATTTTGAGACAGGGTCTCACAGATTTTCCACAGGCTGTCCTGGAACTCACAGTGTAGCCCAGACAGTCTGAATTTACTCTCCTTCTGCCTCAGCTACCCTAATATTGGCAATCACAGATGTGTACCACCAAGTTTGGCTGCCTTTTGTGTTTTTCTGAATAGTTTCTACTTCCCATTTACCATTGTTCAAGGGGTCATTTCTATCATTCCAGACACATCTAGCCACAGAAAACATTTGTAATTGGGATAGAAGGAGCTGTGTACCTTCTATGACCTTTTGACTTGGGAAGTGAGAAATGGAATCCATTTCTGCTTTTCTCTACTACAGATGATGTCATGGTATCAAATGTGAAGATGCTGATTGATTGTGTAAAACTACAGAGTACCCACCCAAGGAAGACAGCAAACTTCAGTCAGTATCCTTATTGTTGGACACTCCAGGATTTCTTCCCACAGATTCCCAAGGCACCCAGGTTTCCACCTATGTTTTTTTTTTTTTTCAATTCCCTATCACAAATTGGTCTGTCTGTCTCCATTTCCTGTGATTTATCAAACAGGAATCCTAATATACACAGATGCACACAAGTTTAATACGTTATTTCAGGGGTTCATGGGACTCACAGAACTTCCTGAAGAAGGTAATCTTGGAATCCTTAGTGTCTTCTTAATGTTGTGCTTCCATTCTGTGACCACTAGTCTTTATAATCTCATTATCAGGAAAAACTGAATTATTATATGTAGGGAGCCACAGCCCCAAGACGGCACCTGGCTGGATGCCAGGGAGACCAAGCTTAGCTGTAAACAAACCTTATTTGGAAGCGCTTAGTGGATCTGGTGTGCCTCCTCCAGCTGTGACCTATCCGGGATCGCCAGGTGGCATGAGTTAATTGGGGAATGAGCTTGCTTTTAAGGGCTTGCGGGGGCACTGGGAGATATTGAAGCTGAGGTAGAAGCTGAGGAAGAAGCTGAGGTAGAAGCAGAGAGAGAAGCTGAGGTAGAAGGAGAAGCTGATGTACAAGGTTCCTGAATAAACTGCTTGAAGAAGAGTCATGGTCGTGTTTCTCTTGCTGGTCGAGATAGACGTGACAATTATAAATGCTTTTACTTGACTGTTTCTATCCACTTGATCACACTCAGTACTTCTCCTTCTTTCCCCTAAATGCACAGGCTGCAAATGTTCAAAATGGTTTATTTTGTAGAAGGTACACTAGAACAAGCTGGGCCTTTGCTTCATTTATGTATCTCTTTCTCCTACCTAAACTGAATTTAAGGCTCCCTGAATCTGCTGGTGGTCATTGATTACTTTCAACTTATAACATTGAAATTAAACTTTAAGTGAATAAATGTGGTGATGTATTATATATGATTTATTAAAGCTTGCCTAAGGATTCGGAAAGCAAAGTCAGCTTCAATCTATAGAGGTCAGGCAGTGGTAATACATACCTTTAATCCCAGCATCCAGAAGCTAGGAGGTGGTGGTACACATGTTTAATTCTAGGACTCAGGATTAAGAGGTAGATGTATCTCTCTAAGTCCAAAGTCACCAAGATCTACATTCATTCCTAAAGAGAAATAGCTCACACAAAGATGATATAAGCACCAGGGATCACACGCCTTTAATCCCAGCACTAGAGGGGTATAAAAGATAGGAGCAAGGTCTTCAGTAGTCAGTATCAGGCATTTATTCTCCAGCCACACTGAGGACAGGAAGACATTCTCCAGCCATGCTGAAGAGAGGGTACAGTCTGAGGTCTGGTAGAACCAGGATTGCCTTTCAGTCTGAGGTAGAGTGAGAGCTAGCGACCAGCAGCTGCTTTGCTTTTCTGATCTTCAGCTTGAAGCTTGAACCCCAGTATCAGTCTCTGGGTCTTTTATTTATCATGCAACAAGTAAATATAATTCAACTAAAACAGGAAGGTGTTCACTGTTGGTAATATCAAAATTCTACAATGCATAAGTGTGCAAATGTAATTTAAACAGAAATCTTGATTGCTTAATTTCATATCATTCCACCTCAATTTTTAAATAACAAACTGTGGTAGATAGCAATAGCCTTTCTTCTGAAGTACACCGAAATAAAAAAAAAAATCCCTTAGGAGGAAATAGCCACAATATTATCATACATAATTAGGAAGGGCTGTCACACATCCACCCTTCAAAGATTTGTTTAAAATGACTGGCACTTAGCTAAGCACTTGGATTAATCTTCCAACATCAGTTTACTTTTCATAAGATTCTACTTAGCAAATAAAACTCACAAATGACAGCCAGAACAAAGCCCACACCTGTGAGGGAGGTCTCTGTTTTTCTCCTAAAGACAAGGACAAGAGGGTATGAATCAGTGTTTGCAAAGGTGGCATTTCTGAAATAATTGAGACAGCGGGAGAATCATACGGAAGCTGCTATTCAGAGTTCTCCCTGTGTCTAAGGGGAGGAATCCTTAGCAGAGTCAAAGGAAAGCACATTCTGGCTTTCACGTTAAAGGCTTCCTCTAGTTCATCCCTAGCCCATCCGTGTCCTAACCTGTGGTGAAAAAGAAGTTCCTTCAGATCAAACAATGCTCATAAATGACAAGTGACAAATCAAAACATCCTGTGAAACATTTGAAAGGAAGAACACAATAAACAGAGACAATAGGAGGACGCTGCGGCACTCCTTTAACAGCTGTCCTAGATTGTGTCCTCTCTGTGGAGCAACTATGTAGCCTCGCACTTCCTCAGCATACAAAAGGCTTCTGTGCTTCCTCTATAGGGGAAGGACTGCTCCCACTGTTCTCACAGTAGTTTTCAGGTTGTCTAGCAGTTCATTGATTTACATGACTCTCTGGCTGCCCTGGATGTGCTTAACTCCCAATTCCTCCACTCCAGAAATGGAAACATTTCTGCTAAGGGAGTACTAGCCAGCTTAAGATGAGCTCTCCTGAGCAGGATGAATAGGAATGTGGTATTGTCCAGCTAACCCTGACTCCCTTATTCTCTCAAGCAGCTAGCAGACAGAGTCAACAGGCGAGCAGCCCGGCTTCTCTCTCTGTCATTCCTCACTGAGCTTAATCAGGTCTACAAAAACCATTAGGATTCAGGAATTGCCTTGCCTTTTTTTTTCCCCTACCACTAGAGAATTTCCAAGTGTGAACTGTCTTCCACAGAGAGGCGCCATTCTTTCCATGTTCCTCCTCCAAGACCCAAGCTTAAGGAGTTATACTGCTGGGGTTATTTCCACAACTACTAGCTCATCAAAGTTATGTCAAATCTACTGAAGGATGCCAGCCACACCCCCAATTATGCATTATGTTCTTGGTCTGAGCTAATTTTCACCAGTGTTGTATCCACCAAGCAAACCCAAGGCTGGCTGCTGGCATGGGCCATTGGGATATTTTGTAAGTTCTCAGATACCTGCAATAAGTGTCTGGCTTTTTAAAGTACATTTTCAATTATACTACTTTTTTGGCTTGGAAATAAAAAAAGAATTTATGCTAAAGGTATAGCCAGAAAATACACTAAGCAAGTCTCTATGGGTAGCAGAATATTAAGCAGCACGGTGCACCAGTTATATGTTAGGCATTCTCCATTGCTACTGTCACCAAAACCATAGTAATCCTTTGCTGTTGGGTGTTACTATTTCCACATTAAAATTAAGATGTAAAGCCACACAGGTAGACAACAAGAACCACATCACACTGTCAAACCTGTATCCAAAAGCTGTATTCTGCTTCAAAGATCACATTCCCTTTTGGGAAGATGAGATTCGAAATATGATGCATTAAAATCTTGTGATTAAATAGTAGAGATAAATATCAATACTTCAAATGTTGAGAATGATTGGAATTTTCCTATGAGAAAACCTGAATATTGGGATTATAATTGGCTTTCAAGATAAACATGAATGGTAGGGCATTTTTGGCATACAGTTGTAATGATGAGCTTTTTAGGGCTGTGTAAGTTCATGGAACTGCAGGAAATGGACCAGTTAGGGATGTGATCATAGGTGTCCAGGAAACATCTTAAATAGGCTGGCAGCATCAGTTCAGACACTTGATTTGAGCTTCTCTTCTCCAGAGAAAGACTGTAGGCAATAAAATATCCCTATCTGCTAACAGCACATTCCAAGGACCACTTACTTGTGTGGCCATTGACAGCAGCTGCTGCTTGGAAGGAGATAATGAGTGCCCATCAATCACTCAGAGCAGGAAGTGATGTCTGGGGCTACAGCCCACTTACTCAAGCATAGCATCCTCTTGTGTAGACAGAAGACTCCTACAGAAGAGATTTACCAGGAAATGACAAAAGTATCCCTAGATACTTAACATTAACTCCTTACAAGAATTCTATGAAGTTAAATATTACAGCCCTATTTTCAGCCCTCATTCCAAGGTGGGTTCACTATACTAGACTCATATTGTGTAAGCTTTAGCACCCTTTCACTCCTGAGGTTGAAGTCAGTGAGTTCGCTGATATGTAGCGTTGGGCACAGGTATAGTTGCCTGTATGATCTGATAGTGTCAGCCAAGGAATGAGTCTACTGAGTAGTGGTTTCATTATTGAAATTAAACAAAGGAGAAAATATTTTTAGCTAAAATCTGCAGTGTCAATGGAACTGTGAAGTTTTATCCAGCTTTTCATCTCCTCCTTGAGCATTCAGGTGTGCTATTGGATAGAGTTGTCATCTGGGATACTGTTTTTAGTTTGACTGTGTATCTCCTTGTCTTACTCATTTAGTGCTAATCATATTATCACAGATTATTTCTTGTAGGGTTATATTTATCATAAATATATAAATATATGTGTGTACATGTGAACATATGTGTATATGTATGTTCTGGAAGATTATTTTCCAAGTGAACCCTCACTTGGACTACACTCCAGATACGTGTATGAACTTGTACATATTACAAAGCTCACAGAATTGTGGAAGCTATTGCCTAGAATAGAAGATGAAAAAGACTCTCTTCAAAGGAGATTTTCTTCATCATTCTATCACAACCCAGGTCACCACACAGTGAAAGGACTAAGTAGTGTCTTTCCTCTTCATTGAATAAGGTTGAGTAGATATAGCCCTTCTTAGGTCATTGGGTATTTTTCTACTGTCAACTCTATGTTTGTATTTAGTCACATCAATTATTATTATTCAATTAAAGCTACACCACAGGATGGGTACCACATTTACATGTATCTGTCATTTCTCTTCTATTCTGAAAGCTACCTTCTGTTCAGAGATGAGAACTTTCCCGAAGGTAAAGAGCCAGCACCCCTCTGAGATTCCATCCATGAAATTGATTTTTACTTCCATTCTCAACTTGCCCTCAAAACACAGATGCTGTGCTTAAAAGACAAATTGATCATTTTATTTCAGTTGCACACAGATGATGTTGAGAAAGTGAGGAGACCCTGGGCCATTAGAACTCAATACTTGGCAGAAAGTGATCTGCTTATCAATTAAAATGAGAAACTCAAACCCCTCACTGTTTCTCATTGTCACAATAATGAGAAAAAATGTATCTGAA